GAAACAAATGGAACAACCAATTAATATGTTTTGAGAAAGGGTAAAGAAACCAACAACCCGAGGGACAAATGGACAAGGTTACACACTTTTGACAATGGAACCTCAGCACAAATGGTCTGGAGTTGAAGTTTGGAGTTGCCTTCGTTGGGTGGGCATTGATGAGACGGTCGGCGCGTGGAGAAAGAAGTTCACTAGATAACTGAGAGGATCATGCATTTGTCAACATGCACACGAATCAAACCAATCACACGTTGGTCCCTTGTCAACAAGGCTTCTCTCCCGCATCGGCGGATCGTGAGCATCTCGCAAGTTGACTCCTCGCGCATAGTGGCAAATAATGCAATTGCGGCTGATCGCAAAATGATCTAGCGAGTGAACTAATTGTAAACAATGGGAATTGCAGGTTTATCGCTGCCCCCTGCTTTCATCGTTTGGATTTTTCAATTGCAGCATGAAAGCCCCTGACAGGCTTCATGTACGGAACCAACAAGACATCATGCTTGCAGCATCTAGTTGGAGGGTGCTTAACCCAAAGCATAGCTTCTCCAGCACCTTGCGTAGTGAACCACAATGAAATTTTCAAATGCAAAGCCTTTATGGCTGGCTGGTGAGGCGGTGTCTTTCACTGGCCATCCACGTCCTGCTCATTTGCTCATCCCTACAAGGCAGCCAAAAGGCTGTGCGTGGGTGTGTGGATGTGTGCGTGTTTGCGTGCCGGTGCTTTTGAGAGCACCCTTTTGTAGATTAGTTTGGAGGCCCCCAAACCTGACACATGCCCAAATCAAAAGATCACCACGCGGCGTGGTTTGAGCCAAAGAGCTGACACTGACACGCACACACAATGGACGTCCGATGCGCCTGCTTCTGGCAGTAGTCGCACCTAGGCGAAAACTGCCACGGCGATGACTCGAGCCGGCTACTTGAAAGCTCCGCACAGGCAAAGGATTGAAGTGGGTCCTATGTACCCTACTCTGATTCGACGAAATCCTGCACCACCTAAGAAGTTGTAAAAGTTTTAGAATGATGATTCCCCTATCAATACCAACAAACAAATGGTGTCCCATGGCTTCAAAGTGGTGCAGGATTTCGCCCATCCACAGTATGACCCTCTAGACTCTAAATACACAAATAGCTTGCACGTGGATCGGGCTGCCAAACTAACCCGTGGACCAATATGTGACAACCACACTTCAGCTTTGGACAACAGAGCCAATGGTGCGAGGCATCAAAATGGGTACCCCCGTTGTGATAGTGCAAGAAGCTACCACGATCAACCGAGCGGTGAATCGAGGACCCGTCTCAAGCAAACAAACGACACACCTTCAAAGTGGGTGACAGGAGAATCTCTGAGGCTCCACATTAAGGTTTGACCCTCTGAATAAAAACACACACACACAGACCTCCTGGCATGTTGCTGTCACCTCATTCTTTCCAACCCGGAAAGCACATGTCCTCAGCCTGGCAGTGGCGCGAGCCTTTCTCGGCCCGAGTCAAACGCGTTTCCAGGCGGGCGATGAAGACTCCAAGGCAACACAGCGGCTTCCCTAAGGATCCACTGGAAGATGCTGCTTCCCAAAGTATTTGCCTGGGTCCAAAGAGTCCGTTCCCAAGCGCATGTAGCTACGGGGGAAGGAACAGAAACTCGTAAGAAGAATGCACGAAACCAAAAAAGCGAAATCAATTCAAGCGCAGCAAGCAGCTTCTGTCTCGCTTGCCGGAACGTGCATTGGAGAGCACAGCCGCAAGCATCGGCTGTGCAGTGGTGTTTTCACCCAAACGAAATTTGAAAAAGTGTGTCACTGAGCTAGAACAAAAACATCACGGTGCTTCCAGTTGCCGTTATAGTAGGTAACGAGGGGAAACCATGATGTAAAGCCTACAGGCAAAAACACAGAAGGCTTACCTAGTCTATAGTAACTCAAAGCACTGGGCATGGCTGAACAAAACCCTGGACTGAGAAAGCCTCTCGAACTCCAATACTGAGCAAACGGGAGTGGCTTAATGGTCTGTAAAAGTCACTACTGTGGATGGACGAAATCCATTTTGGACCACCCAAGAAACCCTGGAATGATGATTTGCCCTGTAAAATACCAACAACTGAGATGCCTTCAACCACGGTTTCAAAGTGGTGCGAAATGGCCAATGTCCATCCACAGCAGGTTGCAATGGCTCTATAACAATATTCAGCTTCCATTTGCTTAAGCCCCCGGGAAAAATAAGCATCTTTCCAATAGTGATAGATTCCCTTTAAAACCAACAGGGGAAAATCAAAAAACAAAAGATTTGTTTCAGCAAATGGAAGTAATCCATTTCAAATTGTTCATCCATCGGAATATGCGGCCAGGACACACATGGCCGGAAGGCACCCAGCCCACTGGCTCCTCCGGAGCTGCTCGCTTCAAATCAAAGCATCGAGAGGTCTTCCGGCTCCAGGTACCTTCTGGGGCTTGGGGCTACTGGAATACTTACTTCCTTTTGATTAAACTCCTGTTCTCGCCGCGAAACCAGATTTGCGGCTGCTTGCGCAGCGTCTTTTGAAGTGCGCTATGACCATGCAGATTGAGGACCCTTGGAAGCGCTTCGATAAAGAAACACCCTTCACCCTAGCAAACAAGCATTCGCTCTGGCATTGGAACTTGATGCGCACCCCTTCCCATTTCCCGGACATGTTCTGACGCGGCGTGCTTCTTTCTCTGAAGACGGCGTTGAATGTTAAAGGATCCATGACAAGCCTGCTCCGTGTAAGCTCGTCTTAACATTGCCCCTGCCATGCTCCAAACCAAGCAGAGCTCAAACCGGAAAGGCCTAGGTCCTCCAGTAGAGAGGTTAGAATAAGCGCACCCTTTGTTCTGTAGTCTATTTTAGTAGGGTAACCCTCCCCCCAAAAAGGGTAAAAAGACACTACTGGGGACTTAGACTCTGCTCTAGTCCCTGAAAGGAAGGCCCTCGCTTTTGCTTCCTGCTAAACACTGCCTTCCATGGTGCCCTTTACCAAAAGGGCTGAAAAGGGCCTCCGCAGAGCCGACATTGGCAGGAGCCTCCACCTGGCAAATGCACCAAACATGGGGATGCGTCAAAATCGACCCCCAAAATGGCTTTGGGTTTCCTCTGGTTTTCCTTCAAAGTTGAAAGAAGATACCTCAACAAAAACACATACGCAGTTTTCACACATCGGATCCCAGACATTGCCCTGCTAACAACTTGACTTGTGTGGAAAGGTGGTGACAGTTTGTTGCTTCATCTTGGGTAAGTTGGCAACCACTTGGAGGGATCGCCAGTTACGACTCTATCTGAGAGAAACTTTTCTGCAGGTCCGACCGAATGGGTAAAAGCTGGTAAAAGCAAACTGCAGATTTGCTCTAGCCAGCCACAAACGAACATGCCACGTGCCAATCATCAATGCCACACCAGCAGAACCAGCACCAGCACCAGCACCCGCACCACCAACCGCCACCTCCACCGCCACCAGCCCCCAACCACCACTGATGAGCATCAGCCACCAGTGATGATCATCAACCATCACTGATGATGATGATGATGATGATGATGATGATCATCATCATCATCATCATCATCATTATCATCGTCATGTGCCCAGCAACTCTGAAGTCCAGCCTCGGCTGCTCTCGGCACCTCCTTGCTCTGCTCTTTGGCAGCGCTCTCTTTCCTGGCATCTCTCTGCGCACGACAAAGGCCCGACTTCCAACCTACAAACTTCACCCCACAAGGAAACGCACACAAAGCAATGCATTTGTCCTCAGGGAGCTGTAGGGAAGCCTGGAAAAGCCACTGACCCTCTCAAGGATCCCAATAAATCCTACTCCCTGGACCCTCCAAAAAGGTGTCCCCAAGGCCACGATTGGGGTTCCACGCCAACTTGGGCAAATCAAGCGTTGAAGAATGAGCCTTGCAGCTTGGAAGTCTGAAAAAATCCTTCACCTTCAACATTCCGACGTTTGACGGCGCAAGCAGTGGGTGACCTTCTGTAGTACTTTGTAGGCATAGGTGACCTTCTGTTAAAACTAGATGGTTTTGGTGAATGAAGCAGCGCCAATCCAAACCAGAGGAACCCAGCTATGTCTGTCCAAACTGACCTAAAAAGGACGCCTCTTGCAGCTTCCGTGCCCCAGCCTGGGGCTTCTGCTCCTCCGCTTCGCTCTGGGCTCCTCCGCCGCCGGCGCGGCGGCGTGCTCCGGCGCCGCTGACGGATCCGGGTCGCCGCGGAGCAACGCGGAGAGGGAGCCTCCGGGGAAGCGCGTGGCTCTTTGGTCTTGCTGGGGTCGCTGCGAAAGAAGTTGCGTCATGAGGTCGCTGAAAAAAAAGAAGATTTTGAAGCTCCTTTGGGGCTGTTTCAACGCTTCCCCGCTTTGAGGCATCCCCAAGTTCGGGGAAGCAGAAGGGAGAAGTTGTGCCACGCGCTTCAGGTTTCAGCCATGGGGAAATTTCACAAATGCATTAATTTGCCAGGAAGCTGTCAGTCGGTTGCCCCCCAACCCACACAAACATATTATGAATTATGGTTTAAGCAAACCATAAACAGACAAATCATGGCCAAAGGGAACGCATTGCCGAGGAGAATCGAGTACGCCAGGGGGAACTGCACTCTACCGCGCCTGCAGCTGGCAAGGCCACTGGCGCCTTTACCTCGATGACTTTTGCCTTCAAGGACAAACGATCGGCTGAAAGGTCCAGGGGTATAAATCGCAGCTCTGGAGCAAAAAACCACTAAATACCTATCATCTGATCTGAGTTATTGTTTTAGACTGCCACAAAGATATCCCCCCTTTGTTTTTTGTTTTTTGTTGGGAAAATGCAACAAATCGTCTGAGGAAGGTAAACACATGATAGAAACGGTTGCATACCTCTGCGAGAACTCAACGACCCCGTTCCGGTAGACGGTTCAATTTGCCCAAAGGCTATGCTTAAACGGGCAACCCTGCAACTTCTGGCTGCCTTCATCCCTGGGTTGCGTCAAACTTGGCATGTCTGACAAGGCATGGGGTGAGTGCAACAAATCCAATTCGACTTGAGCCCATGGAGCCCCTTGAAATATTTCACCATGGTCTCCTGCAAATTCATTTGGTACGCAAAAAACCGTGGTCCACAACGGACATCTTTTGGGGCGTCATGTTGATGGCAGGGAAACCAAGTAAAGGAAGACAAGGGAACGGGGTCTTGCCGAACTACCACAAAGCCCGTCTGGTCTGCCATAGTGGGGTGCACCATATTTGCCCAACTTTTTCCCACACACACATTCCCAATGTAGTGGGGAAGCCACCAAACAGCAAGGAACAACAAGTGGACTCCACTATATACAATATGAAACTTGCAATGTCTTGGGTCAGGCCTCCAATCTGAATGCCTGGCCCTGCCAGCTCGTGCAATTTGCCAGCCCCAGTGTGGTTTTCCACGGAACGAGACACCCGGGAAGGGAGGAGGCGAGGAGCTTTTTGGGGCATCGTTCTTCTGTGGGAAGCCCGCCGGAACAAAAACCCGAGGGCGCCGGTGGACATCCCGAGTTGGAAAACAGAGCTCTCGCCGCCAATTCGGTGTAACAGACTTCTCTCAACCAAATAGTCTTTTTGTAGAACAGCTCGCCCAAGGCAACTACAGCAGATGATCGAACTGAAGGACGGGTGGATTTGTCTCCATAAAGCACAATATCCTGCAGGTTGATCCCCGATTCTTTCCACCTCGTTCTTTTGAGGAAACCACCAAGATTTCTTGGCTTTGTGCCAATTTTTGCCCAAGCACAGAGAAGGATCTGTGGAGAAAAGTGGCAGGGTGATGGGAAAGGAGAAACCAAGGGCAAATCACTGTGCGTTCTTTCTCTCTTTTCTTCGGGGGGGGGGGGGGGGGGCGGGGCCCCAAATCCTTGGATTTGCCTGGGACCTGCAATCACGGCCTTACGGCGGGACATTCGTTTGAGACCGACTGCACCTGTTGACGAACGAAATGATGCTCCCGTTGGACAGGACGATGTCACAATGGTTGGGAGGGACCTGTTTCTGTGCTAAATGTTCATATGAGACCAGTCTCGCTGGAGGCAGCCCCATGCCGATTTCACGGGCTGATAAGGATCCCAGCAAATTTCTTGTTGGGCACTTCCTAGATGACGCCCCAAAAACATCGAGGGCTGGGGACTGCGGGAGTGCACTTTTTGCTATGTTTGGATCTGCTTGTACATGCAAGTCTGCATCCGTTGTTTGCACCTGCTTTGCTTCTGTTATCTTCTGTTGAAAAGGTGCTTCAATAATACCTGATGTGTATTCCTTTCCCCCTATATAATAATACCCCCCCAAAAAAAAACACCTCGGAGGGTGCGTATTTTTAGGAAAGGGGGACGCCTTGGATTGATTTGCAAAACAAAAGTGCCCAGAATGCAACTGTTGAGTTAAGACCTTATGAAGAAAAACAAATGGAGACCCTATTCCTAAAATACCTCCCGCAGAGCAACCCTTCGGTTTGGGGCACTTTGCAGGATATGTTTCATGTTTGTCTTATGGTTTCTCGAGGTATGTTTATTTCTCCAGAAACCCGGAAATGCAGTAGCACAACAAACCAGACTACAACTCGCACATATGGGGTTGATCAGTTTGGTCCTTTGCATGGAATGACCACATTGGAGAAACCACCAAGAAATATGACAATGGGAAAAGTTACCCATGGTCATTTGGGGGCCGAAGGCCTACTGGTTCATCCCCCACATCCCAAAAGAACAGTAGAAACTGCCGTCCCGCAGTCCCCGGTTCTGAAAAGGTACTGAGCCAACCTCATGGGACGAAACCACCCCTCCCCTCATGGTTGCTTCCCTCCTGGTTCCAAAGTTCCTTGAAGGATACATCCAAACGCCACCTTTGAGGGGGATCATCCAAGCCAGGCGTAAATCAGCAGGGACCCTGCCTTCTTCTTGGCCTCCGCTTTCACCAGGAACCTCACAGAGATTCACTCAGCCGTAATGTTTTCACCTTCGCCCAATTGTGATCGAAATAAGATCTACAGATCTTGATCCACAGATTTAATCGATGCCGAGTTTCCGAGATCCCCTCATAACTTTTGACCACCCAACAACTATCACAGGGTTTGATCAGCAGTCATTGAAGGGCCTGGTGGGTAATTACCCATTTCCTCCCTTGCTTTGCCGGTCCAACATGGAATGATTGATCTCGATTCATGTAGTGAGCCTTAGAAAGAAATGCAAAATAAGGTGAGAACGGATCCCTGACTTGCGCGCGTCTTTTTGAAGCGCACCCGTTTTGGGAAGGCCTGAAGCTTCAAGCGGACAGGAAACACGATTGTTCGGTGGGTGCCTGGAGTTGAGACAAACCCCGTTCCTCTCAAAGCGATGTCCTGCATTTTTTTTCCATTAACCCCCCACCCCAGCCATCATGCTGATTGGCATCTCCCCTAAACCAGCTTGCTATGAGCTTGCTGATCCCGTTCAGTGCGTGCCTGGCATAGGCTTCGCGGCTTCACTTTGAAGAGCGGCTCAAGTTGATTCCATCGGGTAGGTGTCAGAGCATAGGCAATTACTACAGAACTTGCGGCTTCCTCTTGGGTTCTTTTTCAACTCAAACGCAGAAGGTAGCCTCAACGGAAAAAAAGAAAAACAAAGAGAACAAACAACAAAAACACACCCTCGTGTCGGTGGTTTAGCCAAACCGCGGTCTCGGCTTGTTGGCCGCTGGGCCCTCGACTCTTCCTCCGCCTTGCGCCGGCGCTCAATCTCTTCCGCCTGCGACACGGACTCGGAGAAGCCGCAGCGAACCGAAACGAACTCCCAAGGCCCGGCATGTGAAACCCATCCACCCGTTTCATCTGACTGAAATGCTCGGAGCTTCAAAAGACCCGCATCCTCGGAATCCTTGGCATTGCGATGCCAGGATGTCATGTAAATTGACCTGAGCCCTCGGATATAGGTTCATCTCCCTAGATCCCTGTTGACTCTTTGATTCTTTGAGGGAAAACCTATGGACTGGAAAACCTCTCCTCGTCTCCTTGCACCTTCCTTGAGCCCAGGTTGCCCCGCCCTCTTCTTCACCGTCTCCAGGCGGTCTTGCTCACTCCGCTTCTTATCTTCCTGCGGCATCGGTCCGTCTCCGTGGCCACTTGGGTCCCATGTTGGGGTGAGGGATCAAAAAAACTTATTCTCATGGATTTACTACTAAAAATGGAAAATCAGAGGATCACAAAAACACTTTTGGGGGATCAAAAAATATTTGTTCATTTCGTGACAGGCGAAGCACTTTCGCAAGGTCAGGTACAGATTTCGTGGCAAGCGCAGCACTTTCGCAAGGTAGGTGCAATGCTTTCGCAGGTCAAGTACAGATTTCGCGGCAGGCGCAGCACTTTCGCAAGGTGCGGTACAGATTTCGCGGCAGGCGCAGCACTGTCGCAAGGTCAGGTACAGATTTCGTGGCAGGCGCAATACTTTCGCAAGGTCAGGTGCAGATTTCGAAGCAGGCGCAGCACTTTCGCAAGGTGCGGTACAGATTTCGCGGCAGGCGCAGCACTGTCGCAAGGTCAGGTATAGATTTCGTGGCAGGCGCAATACTTTCGGAAGGTCAGGTGCAGATTTCGCAGCAGGCGCAGCACTTTAGCAAGGTCAGGTACAAATTCGCGGCAGGTGCAGGACTTTCGCAAGGTGCGGTCCAGATTTCGCGGCAGGCGCAGCACTTTCGCAAGAGGTACCAATTTCGCGGCAGGCGCAGCACTTTCGCAAGGTACGGTGCAGAGTTTGACGCAGGCGCAGCATTTTCGCTAGCAGTGAAGAAAAAATACAGAGATATAAACATGAAGAAAAAGGGAGAAAACAGAGAGAGAGAGAACGAAAGAAAGAAAGAAAGAAAGAAAGAAAGAAAGAAAGAAAGAAAGAAGAAAAAAAGAAAGAAAAGAGAGTGATGATCGAGGAAGTGATGATTCAGCAAAGGGTGCGTTAAGCTTTGTAAACATTCTGAAAATCAGAGGGGGGGTTGGGGGGGGCGGCAGCCCCCCCCATGATGTTCGAGGAAGTGATGATTCAACAAGGGTGCGTTAAGCTCTGTACGCATTCTACAAATTAGCAGGAGGGTTGGGGGGGGCGGCACACCCCTCAAGATGTTCGAAGAAGTGATGATTCAACAAAGGGTGGTGATGATCGAAGAAGTGATGATTTAGCAAAGGGTGCGTTAATCACTGTCAACCTTCTACAAATCAGCGGTTGGGGGGGGGTCCTTCAATCCTTGCTTCCTTGCTTGCTTGCTTGCTTGCTTGCTTCCTTCCTTCCTTCCTTCCTTCCTTGCTTGCTTGCTTGCTTCCTTGCCTCCTTGCTTCCTTGCCTCCTTGCTTTCTTGCTTGCTTCCTTCCTTCCTTCCTTCCTTCCTCCCTTCCTCCCTTCCTTGCCTCCTTGCCTCCTTGCCTCCTTGCCTCCTTGCCTCCTTGCTTCCTTGCTTCCTTGCTTCCTTGCTTCCTTGCTTCCTTGCTTCCTTGCTTCCTTGCTTCCTTGCTTCCTTGCTTCCTTCCTTCCTTCCTTCCTTCCTTCCTTCCTTCAACTGTCGATGATCCCTACTAGGGGAAGGGTATGTTGATCCCACGTGCACAGCGAAATTCAACACATAATCAGGGTTGATGTGTTTACAGCTGACGGAGCCAATTCTGTCGCATAAGCTCATTGGGTGCCACAAAGTGTTGCCTTGTTTACTTCCATTTAGGGTAGAGGCCATGATGTAGTGCCATGCAAAGCCGACCAAGCAGTTAAGAATCGACAAGGCTTCTTATATATATATATATATATGAATGTAAGCTCGTGGCATGTGAATTCTGAATGTGAAGATAAATGCCCAGCTGCGGTGTGAGCAGAGCCACGCAATGCCTATATATGTATCTTGTATACTTCACTTCCATGTTGAATAGTACTGAGAGGAATAGAGAGAGTGGCCACAAAGGCTGCTTACACTTCATTCGGCTGCAGAAGTGTCCACATACGCAACTCAAGCAACCAAGCCTGATGCTGTCCTGTGGAGGCTTGGAGATACGATTTGGGTACCATTTTTGTTTGGTTGCGCAGGGCTTCCGGCTTGGCAAAACGGGCGGAAAGGGCCAAGGGGCTCTCTGGGAAACACCCAGTTGCCCAGTGGTGCTCTTTTTTGCCGTTTTTTTTTGGGAAGGGTTCCCGTTAAACTCAACCAACCAGAAAAAGGATGCCCTTTTTTTTTCCTGGCCACTGGGCATCTGAGAAATTCACACTGCGGCTTTTTCAGGATCCTGGGGCTAATGGGGTCCCAGAGGTCTCCACATGGACAACATGGGGGGATAGGCATCAAAAAAAAACTTATGCTCATTCCTATGGGGGGAAGCAAGGAAGGAAGGAAGGAAGGAAGGAAGGAAGGAAGGAAGGAAGGAAGGAAGGAAGGAAGGAAGGAAGGAAGGAAGGAAGCAAGGAAGCAAGGAAGCAAGGAAGCAAGGAAGCAAGGAAGCAAGGAAGCAAGGAAGCAAGGAAGCAAGGAAGCAAGGAAGCAAGGAAGCAAGGAAGCAAGGAAGCAAGGAAGCAAGGAAGCAAGGAAGCAAGGAAGCAAGGAAGCAAGGAAGCAAGGAGGCAAAACGAGCCTCCGAAAACCAAGAGGCGTCCTCCTGCTGCTGTCGCGACTTGGCGCGTCTTTCTCGCTCCTCCTGCAACATGACACTGCCGCCAGCAATTAGGAAGAACACCAAACGGCAAAGGGCATGCTGCAATTCATTTACCATCCCATCGCACAAACAAATCTTTATATGTATATATATATATATATGGTGGGCGTGGTGTATTTGCTGGCAAATGCATCAAAGCCAAAGTGAATACACAAATGCCAAGTCGCTGATGAAGCAGGTGTTGTTCATCCTGCTGTTTGAATCTCGCATATTATCGCAAACAAAATAACGCTCGCGTGACTACCAAGGAAAAGCCAAAACTCGCTATTGCTTAGCTTGTGCTGGCACAACAAACAGCAATTTAAACATTCCGCTATCGCACCCCCATCAGCAGAACATGCCCCTCTATCCTCAAACCTGTCTCCAACAACATGTGCTTGCTATGTCTAGTCAAACTTCTAGCACATGAGCAACAAACAGTTCTACCGGAGTATCGGTTTTGGGTCTTTCGGTTTGTGCTGGCAATATTATTATATTTAGATGTTCCAAGCTGACTACGACTTGATCTGGGTGCTAAATAGGTCTTAAAAAAGAACAAAACACTGCCAATCCATTTTGGTTCCCCTTTGAATAAAACAACAAAAAAACAACTGGGCTACTTAGCACCCACCTCCCACGCTCGATCCACCAGCCTCCGCTCGTCGAATGGCCTCGTCCTTTCGTCTCTGCTCCTCTCGGGCCGCCTGCAAATACGGACAGTCCAGGTTGCTCCCCTTTCGGACGAGCAAGTTGGTGGATCCCCTTTTGGAGGTAGAAAAGCCATTGCAAAAGCCATTGGAACAGTTTCCAATGGCTTTTTTGGGTCACACCAAAGCCCATGGGTAATTACTCACGATGCAGTCTCCACTGTCTCTCCGGCAAGAGACGCTGCTAGCAGATTCGGCCAGCACTGTATGTGCGCCCTGTTGCATGGTGGGACCTTTCTAGATCAATGACTTTGGCTGTCGCGTGCTTGCGTACTATATAGATGACACAATGTAGCATGCTAATGGAACATCGTCTGCACTCAATGTACCTTTATGTGCAAAGCTACATGTTTCAATACGCTCCACGAGAAGGGCTCAGGGATTCCCCGCAGTTGCACAAGTTGCGCAAGGCTCTACCCTTAAACAAACCGTGTTTGCAATCAACAAGCTCTGGGGTCGACAGCAAGCACTCTGCATTGTAACAGCTTATAACAGCTTCACAGACTCCTCACCCATCGGGCTTCCCAGTGTTGTATGCAGAGTGCATAGCAACCCGTCGGCAAACAATGTCAAGACTACAAGCCTCCGTTGTTTCCCTTGCACCCAGTACCCCCAAAAAGCAAATCATGTATGCGACATAGCTCCTGATTGGATGTATGCCCCCTTTCCAGCATTAATTAGACTAGGGGGTGGGGACGGAATGCCAATTGACTTCCACCTGGTATGCTTGGTACACCCTGCGCCTCCGCTCTTCGAATGGCCTCCTCTTTTCGCCTCTGCTCCTCCCGCTCCTGAGCGCACGCCCACACCGACAGCCCGGAACCTTTTGAGGCAGCTGATGACCAGCCAACCGCGAGTCACCTTTTAGATCAACATGGACTGCCTCACTGCTGGTTTCATGTGCCGGGTACACATTGTGATATTGAACCGGCCTAGCACTTCACCTGCATGCGACGTTCCCTCCGGGTTGCCTGGCACCACCTGATTGGCTTACTGCTCAGCCCTCGCATTTCAAGCCACCAGGAGCATCTATGACAACTGTGTGCGTATGCAAGTGTTTCTGTCTTGCCGGCTTCCAGAGGCTGACTCCCACGATTTCCCAAGCCGGACTCAAACGCATTCTGCCTTGGAAGACTCTGAAAACTTGAGAAGGTCCAAGAACCAGCTGACCCTAGTTAGTTGACAATCAGTATGGGCTGCCTCGATTTGCTACGAAGATTAGACCAATGGGCGGAGCCAGTATAGCAGCGTTGCTGAAAATAATATCACCATCGCATGGCGCCAAGTTGAAGCTCTTCCAAACAATTCGTACTAGCATTGCTGCAATCCATTGAGCTCCCGGGGTCTCTTCTTGCGGAGGCCTTTGTTTGCTTTAAGGAGAAAGGGACACCTGAGAAAAGCCAACCATTTTTTGGGGTCGCCTCAAAAAAGACACACCCCTATCCACTTCAGGCAGACGGAGACCACCGCTCCAGTCCTCTTCATGTCTCCTTCGCTTCTCCTCTCTTCGCTCTCGCTCAGCAGCTTCCCGCTCCTGGGCGTTCGCAGAACCCTCCCCTCCAAACACCTTCAAGGGGCTAATGAGCCTTGCCCCTTTTCCAACAAACCATGGAAGTGGACAAGGGGTCTTTCAAGAGAAGGGAAGTGTTCCGAACCCTTGCTGTCCACTTCCATTATTGTTGGAGAGAGGGTAAAAGGGTCAAATAAGCCGAAGCATTGTCACATTGTCACATTGTCACCGGTGATCTATTTTATTTGTTCAGTTGCCCGCCGTTCAACACGCACCCCATGGATGCATTTTAGAACGAGGAATCTACTTCCATTGTTCTCATCGAAAATCCTAGAAATCTACACCACACAGAAGCACAAGGCTGGCACGCTGGTATAGCAAACAATAGAGACTGGGCTCAAAATCGTCAAGGAGAGTTACAACCTCGCACCATGTCTGCTGTCTGCCAGGCGTGTGCCCAACAAAGACCATTAGAAGCGTGTACGGCAAAATGAGGGAAGACCACGGCTTCAGTTTCAAGTGAACCTGTTCTGAAAGCCACGGAGGCAGGCCAAACATGAGAATGAACAAGTCAAAACCACTCGATGTAGAAAAATCAACTTGCCGGCTGCATGTAAGCAGCCGTGGCCATTCAGCAAACATAGACGCAACCACAACAGCAGTTTGAAGCTTCAACTCAAGGGATGGAGTTACCCAAACTTCGGCCATGTCCCGCAGTCCGGAGCAGTAGTAGCAGCTTTAGCCTTTTTGTGGATATCAATCATTGCAGGCCAGGGTCTGTGGGGAAAGACCACGTTTGTGATACAACAAAAAGGTCTCTCAAAGACTAACCACCCGTATACAGAGGGGATTTCCTTGTATCACAGAAGTGGGGATAAACCTCTTGATCCCGCAACCCTGAATTACAGGCTGTAACTGCATCATGCCTGAATTCATCTGAGCTGTCCAAAAGGTCACTGCAATTCAGTGCAGTCAACCTGTCTTACACGGACGGCCAGTCAGGTTTCCATCGATGCTTTACGAAAACTCCGGAATTCAGGAAGGCTCACAAATATATACTCACAACACTGGCCTTAAACTTACACCCAAGCACAAGGCTACGTGTGCCAACCACTTACCAGCATGCACAGAGTGTTTGGTCAAGCAAAATCGCTCTTTAGTCGCTCTTGATTGATCCAGTCGTTTGGGATGCCCTTAGGAAAACAACGCCGTCTGCGGTGCCGGGTCAATACAGTAACAGCATTCTTTGGCGAGCTACGCCCGTCCTTTCGAACACCACAGTCTACCATGGAATCTTCCGAACATTTGCAGGCGTATGAAAGTTGCGAACCGCCTTTTGATCAAGAACTTCCAGGCAAGGCAAAACTCAGTCACCCTTCGACTCGGGCAGAAAAGGAGGGGTTCACCATTCTAGTGACAGTCAGTCCCATAAAACAAAAGGGGTCCACTAAACAACTAGGGTTGGCTTTTGAAATCAAAGCGCAAGGAACCTAAGCGTCATCCTGGCCAATGCCATGATTTACATGTGCATGTGTATATATATATATATATATAGTACATGTGTCTATATTAAATTATATAAGTGTGCATCATATATGTATACATATATAAGGCATGCACATATTCATATTCTACAAATAATTGTGTCGCGGGCAAAGACGCGGAATGGTACCAAATGCAAAAAACAACTCGCGCTCCTCGACCTCCCTCCGCAGCTCAAGCTCCTCAAGCCCGTGAATCCGAAGCTGGGGGGGGAGGGGAGGGGGGAGAAGGGGAGGGGAGGGAGGGGGAGGGAGAGAATTGGGGACCTTGGTTTTCCAAGGGCCCCAAAAAACAGGGCCCTTCGAATGTGCTTGCAATTGAGATGCTCTACATCCAATCCAACCATATGCGGGCGGAGCTTGACGATCCCTGATTATTTTGTATTATTGTAGGCATGTCTTCCACGGTAGGGTCGCATAACAGATCTCAACAGGGTGTTCAACAAGCGAATCCTTTTTGGATTTTCCAGGCAAATGCAAAGGACGCTGTTGCCATTGGTGGGGCTTTAGCTGTCAACATGACACAGTAACACCTAACGGTGTCAATGGGGGAACTCTTGATGGGAATGACTGACACACGCGTCAACTTAAGCATATGGTTTCTGTTAATTGTTTCGAAACACAAGCCACACTTCTGGCTTCCTGAGTGGATTGGCTAAACAAAGCCCAAGTTGTTTGTGTGTGCCACTAAAATGGCTGTGGCTCAAAAAGCTGGTACCCAAATTGGAACCTTGGTAAGTGGAAACATGGACCAAAACCTGCGTAACCCCCACCTGTTTAATTTTGAGCCACACCCAAATGCCTTTCCTAGAAAGTCTGAAGTCCAGGAACTCAGGGAGTACGACTTGGGTGGGCGCTTATCATGTGCCCAGTAACGCGTAGGCACCCTCACATGGCTATGTTTATCTACCGGGGAACACCCTCCCAAATGGATGGTGGACGTAAACCACAACCTAAGTGATGTCCACTAAAGCGTCCCCAGTAAAGGTTCATACTGTGGACGAATCAACTTCGCACCACCGGGGAGAAACCCTGGAATGATGCTTCCCGGGTAAACATCAACAAACACTGGTTTCCCCTGACTTCTTAGGTGGCGCAGGATTTTGTCCATTCACAGTACGTACCCATATTCCTGGAAAACTTCCCGGGTTCCAGCACAGATCCCACCCTTTCGGCAACGAACTCGACCACCCACCTGGCGGCAAAGCTGCCTGCGAGGTGGGAGGCGCGCACACACACATACACACGCGCTAGAGGTGCAGGTGGGAGGCCACAACGTGACATTTAGCCACAATCCCAACCCCAACCACACCCTGTCTAAACCAACTCAGAAGCCAAGTCTGAACCAATCCCAGACCCTCGTTCTCAACCCGAAACGCACCCTCAACCCACTCGTTCTGACAAGGCATGGGGATGGGTTAGCTATGCGAGCTCCTCAAAAAGAAAGACGGCAACTCTCAGCCAGGCGCCACGATTTGCCGGGCCCAAGCCTGTTTAAAGGACTTAAGCTCAAACCAACGTATTCACAGAGTTCAGACCAAGAAATAGATTGACATGCTGACCTTCACCTACCCAAACAGCCAATATCTGTGGCGCGGTGGTTTTCCTGAGGAACAGGCAGGTGTCAAACGCGGGCATCAGGTATGCTTTGGAGCTGGTACTTCAGTTCTCCCATATATATATATATATAATATATATATAGATATATGATGTCGTTTGCACAAGGCCAACAGCAACAGCACCAATACACACCTGGGAGTCGTCAATTGCCAGCGGAACAAAGTTTGACGCGGCACCATGTAGGGCATTTCCCCTTGCTGGCATCCGAGGAAGTAATGTACAAAAAAAACTAGGACCACCCAACCTTTTGCTCATTATCCACACCGGGTATCAAAGGGATACACCCAACCCCCCCCCCCCCCAAACAAAAAGCAACGGAGCGTAAACTAGCTACATTCATTTCCGATTCGGACTGTCCCTTGCTCGGTTATCTTAAATCAATCCACTATATCACGTTCTTTACAGTACTTCATGCTCAACTCTGCTTGCCACCCATCTACGGTCTTGATTGTGGCTCATTAAAATCGGGGCCCTCCAGAAAGAAAGGGGAGAACACTAGGGACCCTCCGAAATGCTCGTAGGCATCCTTCAAGTCTTCCTTCAAGACCGCTTCCTGCTGTTTCAGCTCGGTTCAGTGCAACATGCATCTCCAAAACCCGAAGAAGTTTTCCAATGGCAAGCTCATTTTGCCCCTCTGTGCTATAAAGTCGGAAATCCACAATGGGCGACATATCCTAGTTTCTATTGAAATCAGAAAGGCCAATGTCTAGGTCTCTGGGTGCAGGCTCTGGCTTGGACAGACTTAGAGCTACAAAGGTTCGCTGTTGTTGCTTAACAACGAACTTGTGTGAAATCCAAAAAGGTAAAAACAGGATGAGTCGACCGGCCCTTTCAAGGATACATCCCAAAACCAGCAGCTTTACAGGCAAATCCTTCATATCCGCCCACAATTGGCCGAGTTTGGCTTGACTGGCCTCTTGGTGTTCCTATGTCCTTGAAGGGACCCTGGTCACATCTAAACCACGGAGAACCCCAAAGCTCGCCCCCAACGCCTCGTCTCTGGCTTGGCCGGCGGTTGGGCCTGCTGGGCCTGTGCGAAAGCTTTGCGTCGGCCCAAGGAAGCCACGATGAAACCGGCAAAAATCCAAACTGGCACTCACCCAAATTTGTAACGTCCCTTCGCTTGAGGCCGGGCAATTTGTCACAAATTGCCTGGTAAAGCTATCTAGTTCAATCCGATGACGATGCAAAGAATCAAGAGGCCGGAGATCCTCACCTATTTCTGTAATTCCGGGCCCCCCCAAAAAAACTGGACAGCCCTAAGTGGTACTTTTTGCTATTGGTCGGGCCACCGGTGTTATGGCTTGTGCCTAGGCCTGCAGCAAACAACACAAAGGGGTCCGTTGACCACGTTCAAGCCCCGCCAGCTTCCCCTGGCAAGCTATTTTTGCACTAGGTGCCTCAATTTGCGGAGGCCAAGAAAACTTTCGAACAACGCAACAAACAAAGAAACACCGGCGTTTGATCCGCCTCGCCTCTTCCTCTTTAAAAGGGGTCCTCAAATTTGGAACCACATACGTACTTGTGAGGCATATCTACTACACCACCGAAAAACATATCCCCAAGTGTGATGCTGGGTTCGGCTTGAGCTCAGCGCAACCCCCTCTGCTTTCCCCGCAAATTTGGCTCCCTCTATTCCCCTGAAAACATGACCCCTATCAACGCAAACTCACGTTGCAAAGGCCAAACACGTGATGCTCAAACCCAAAGGAACAATGTATTGTACCCAATCATACCCAATCGCTGCTTTGCAATCTATGCTTACCCACATTTACTGAGCGTCAAATGGGTGTGGGTCAAAAATAGGTACCCAACACGGAACCCTGGTAGATGGAAACAAGGACTAAAACCTGCGGTTTTCTGGTATAACTTTGACCCATACCCAAATGATTGGGGTTCCCATGACCTGGAGCCCCTTTCTCGCCCTTTCTGCTGCTACTGTAGGCCGCCTTCACCGCAGCCTCATCCAACTCCACCGACTCGGAGGGCGTGGAGTTGGCTTCCGCGAGCCCTGCCTTAGGGCCGAAAAAGGGACACGGCTGGGGAAGATCGGGGGGCTGGTTGGATGTTGAACCCAGGGGACCATCACCAGGGAAGTGTAACTTGCTTACTTGGTTGAACAGGCAAGTACCTGTTTAAGTCGGGAGATCCGTAGCCTTAATGGATTTATCCAGGTGTGAATGGAGAAAAAGGCAGCTGGAGAGGAAAGCGCATTCAGGTGGGAATGGGTTGAGTCGGCGCAACATGGGGGGAACATGGGGGGAATGATCTTTGAGTGGTGTGCAAGGAAAACAAACAACCAACACAAAAAGCCACATAGCCGCAAATGGATCATGGCACATGTGCAGGTCACAACAATGAATGGCTGATTCGGTGCAGAAAGTGCCCCGTAGGAAGAACGGCATGTGCTTCATCTGTCTCGCAGAAGGAGTAACCAAACACACAGCGTAGCGAAACTCCTTTCTTTGGCATGGTTTTCAAGGGGCAAAAACCAAAGCAATGCTACGGACACCTCGCGAATTGTTGAAACCCCAACCACTTTGGGGGGCACCTTGACAGCGCCCAACCACTTTGGGGGTTCTGACAGCAACGCAGGCAACTTACAGCCATGGGTTATCACTGGGTAGCTGCTTGGTTCTCGTATCATGCCCAGTCGATCCCAGTCAGGTATCCCTTGCCTATGTTCCTTTTGGCTTTCTTTATCGGGTGGTTCCTGCTTACCCCGAGTTACCTGCCAACCCAGGTACTTAAATGGGGGTATAGCTCTTTTATAGGACCCCGCCCATAAAGAAACAAATACATATATGGCGGTACTCACTTTGGTTTCCCTTGAAACCCTCCAAACCTGGATCCGCATGGATCCGCTGTGCGCGTTTTTTTTCCAAAAAAAGCACCTATTAAATATATATATATATATATATATATATATTGCCGTTTGCCTGTTGGTTTCCCTCAAAACCTACCCCAACTGTCTCCACTGTGCGTGCATCCATAACCCACATCGGCCAAAGCGGCGAAGAAGGCGAAGTCCTCGAAGTCAGGGTCTTCCGCCTCACCCAAACGCGGCTTGGCATGGCGAGAAGAGCTGGTGGATTTGTTTAGAAGGGTGCCCTATGTTTTTAGGACCAATGTGAGTGTGTGTGTGCTTCTTCTTTGTGTTTCGTTTGTTGGCTTTGCTTGGTGCTTTTTTTGTTTGGGAGGGAGGGAGGGAGGGAGGGAGGGAGGGGGTTGGTTATCATCATTTAGAACCAACTTCCGAATTGTTGTTGGAAGTTGGCCCAAAATCATTGTTTCCGTCTCGGATTGCTTCTCTGTGCCAACCATAATGGCATCCATGTCCCATGTGGGTGTGTGTCGAAATGGGGGGGGCCCATGACCTCAGCTTTCCGCTTGGTTCCTCCTAAAACCAATTTGTAAAGGGTAGCCAACCCTATAGTTACTATGGGCCTTCCCACCCTACAGCCAGGTACCGCCTGCTACAATGGCAGCACAAGAATCCGTGCAGGACCTAGACATCCGATACGCTGAATGGCTTGGCTGTGAAGTGATGCCCGGGAAAACCACGGACCCGCCACCAATAATTACCAAGTGAGCACCATGTTCGGGCAAGATTCTCTCAACCAGGGCAGGGGTTGACAGTATGGACAAATTCCTGTACCATCCAAGAAACCCCAGAATAGTGATTCCCCTAGGCGCGTACATATCAAGAAACGTCATGGTTTCAACCATGGTTTCATTTCGGCGTGCGAGATGCATTTCGCAACCGTCCGCAGTACCGCCATAGCCTAACTAGCCCTTTTTTCTGTAGTCTATTCTGGTAGGGGAACCCGCCCCCAAAAAAGGGTAAAAGGGCACTACTGGGGGACCGAGCTAACACAAAGTAAAGGGGCTTGGACCTGGCAACGCATGGCGCATGGCGCCGTACCCAACAAAAGCCAACGGCCTGCACAGGCGCGGCCTGCATGCCCAGGGCTTGGCCTGGAAGGGCTGCTAACATCCAACTCCATGGAGGGAATGGTTTCACAGCAATCTGTCGTCTCGAAGCTTGGTCGGTGTCATACAAACCATTGTCGTGTTGTGCACGTCAAAATGAAGGCCACAAGCAATGCCAACTCACATCCTTGGATGAGCTGAGGCGTCCATCCGCAATCTGCCACTTGCTTGGTTGCAAACACACAGCTTGTTTCGGCAGAACCTAGTGAACTGCTCCGGTTTGGGCAGGGCTTGCGGAGCTAGGTTGGCTTCAAGCCATGTTTTCGCGCGCCGGGCCCCCAAATGGCACTGTTTTGCTTAAACTCATCGTCCTGAGGACTTTGAGGGCCCATCTCTGAAGCTTCATTCTCTCTCATTTTTTCTCGAGCCAACCACCATGGATCGAACCAAGAGTCCGGACACAAGTATCTCGCAATGGAGAAGTGGTTGGTGCACCGTGTTTCTTTGCTGAACACAATGTTCTTCATCTCTTCCAGTGGGGTGAAAGTAGGCACAATTCCCATGATTCGAATTTGTCATCCCCCTTACCCGCAGGGGAATTGTGCCGTCTGTCACCCTGGCACGGTAGCACAAACGCCATTCATGCAACTGTTGCATCCGATCCCCGCCCAGTTGGGACTTCCGGGAGGCGAAGAGGACCCATACGCGAGCGACACGTGTGAAACAGCTGTCCAAGAAGGTTGTTGAATGGGCTCCAACAAAGAGGTGCTCGGTGGGATGCTGACCTCGTCCGGCGATCAAACCACGTTTAATCTTAATCCAGTTAGAGTCTGAGAACTCTGCGAACCTAGAGCAAAACATATCAAAGGACTGGGTCTCTTTCGCGCTTCCGCCTCGCCTGGCCTGCCGGGTCTCGGGACGGGACTTACGACTTGCGTCACAGGCGCCAGGAAGCCAGACACAGCAAATGGAGAGCTGAACATTGCGTGGTTCTTTGCGGGTACCCGTTGGAGGGTTCTCAAAAAAGAAAACCAACCGCAAAAGGCGTACCCGTTGGAGTACCCCCCAATTTTGGAACATGCTTCCACGGGTGGCTTTGAAGGGAACCAAGAATTGTCATTGGTTAAATGTGCTTTGGAACCAGCCAGTTTTGGCTGGAACCAAAGAAATTGTCTTTGGGGTGAAACCCAGCTTTTGCCAATAGACACTCGGAGGTTCCCTATTCTACAACCGAACATTGACGCTTGTCACACAGCCGATCTTTAACACAACATTGTTGGTTTTTGGCTGCAAGCCCGCTTCGCGGGGTGCAAAACGGGAACCAAAGGGCAACCTCCCGGATTAAGTTGATCAAACCCCATTCTTAGCGGCTAAAGGATTGGACACAACGTCCGTACGGCCCCAATCCAATGCTATTCCATTTGCGTGACTTACTTTCAGGTCCAAGAAGGGGTGCCCAATGTGTGTCGGGATGTTGCTTGATTGGGGTGACTGGTTAATTGGAAAGGTCGTGAGAGTCTAGGGCAATAAATACACATCTACATCATTTGAGCAACGCCCAGTCTTGCATTGGCCTTGCTGGGCAACAGGTGCACTCGAATCGCCTAGCCCAATTGCTATGAATTGCTGACTCCCTGGGGGGACTGCCTGGCTTGAGAACGACCCCCGTCGCACTACTAGTGGCAGGGCCGAGCAAGAGCGTGACGCGTCGTTAAGGTGGAAACCATGCAGGCACGAAGGCATCTGCAGTCTGACAAGGCTAAACTGCCAGACAGACTTGAAGTGTCGTTTCCTCCAAACCAACGTGCTTTTGCAAAACGTCAACGCGATTCGTTTTAAGGGACTCTTGACCGGGTCGACTCGATTCTGTGTAACTCTTTGCCACATCGGCGTGAGGTGACCAAACACCCCCGCGAGTGTGGTGCTGTGCCTTCGTCTTGCGTCCGTGCGAGGTTTTCAGTCGCACAAAACCGCATCCTTCCAACTTTGAACGGTGCGCGTACTGTACAAATCCGAGAAAAATAGACAGCAGCATTTCCAGTGACTTGTTCATGATCGGCTGAGCTGTCTTCGGCTCGGCTGAGCTGCTGTCTGTCGCTGCGGGTGCGCATGTCCTAAAGGAAAAGCTGCTGTCTGTCTGCCTTGGGATTTGCTTACCGACCATGCCAGGACGTGTCGGCCACTTTGACTCTCGCAATCCCTTGAAGTAGCATGTCCTTCCATGCCAGCCCGAAACCCGAAGGGTCCAGCTACCAAAAGAGGTACTTCAGCCCTAACCTCACAAGCGAAAGGGTACCCACCCTCTGAGACTCTGGGAATGGCAGGGGCAAAAAATATTGCAACGCCCAATCGAGCACAGCTTGCGGGAGGCAAGAGCCAAATGACCGACAAAACTATCCCTACACTTGCAACAGTCTGGCTGCGATGGGCATAAGGCAGTAGAAGTTCCGAATGGTAGAGTTTATTCATCAATTATGTTGTCCTAGCCTGCGCTCCAATCAAAGCAAAGCATCAGTGGCTTTTGGCCAGATGGGGCGCTTTTCACATCATGGAAGCAATTGGCACAAAACGTCACACAGGTCGACCCCAAATGGACACAGCTCACACAGGTCTATAGCCCCTATGGCACGGCCTTTACCGTCCCTGTTTGGGGAGTATCTATCGAAACTTTTACAAACCTCACATGGACAGAAACTTTCTGCGGTCAGCAAAATTGGGACCCGTCCATTTGAGGCCCTGTGGAACCGGAGCCCAGGCAGCCGCTGTTCGCGAAATACGCTGTTCCCCCCGTTCGCGCGTTCAAGGCATCGCCAAAATCGGATCCGGGGGCCTGAAAAAAGGGGTGAGAATCAGCTCCAGGTCACCGCTGGTCCTCAGGCGTGTTCCACCCAAAGGTTCACAAGGGGAAACCCAAGAAACATGCCATCTGAGCCAAAAGGCTGGCTTGATCAATAGAAAAGCAGACATCCAACTGCAAGGACTTTGCTTTCCCCAAAGAAACATCAATATCCTGGCTAGTTGTTTGCACACGCTGGCACAATCAATGCCTTCCCTGTCTATCAATGCCCACCTTCCAATCACTTGACGAGCATGGAGCCGAACATCAAGAGCCTCGGCTGGCAGAATTGCAGCGGCTTTTGTGTGCGCGTGTTCATGAGTGTGCGTCTGAGTGTGTGTGGTTTGTCTGCGTGTCTGCGTGTCTGTGCATCTGCGTGTCTGCGTCTCTGCTATCTGCAGCCTCAATACGCCCAAACTAACACACACTTTGGCCATGGCAGCCACGGTACTAACAACCCAACAACACTACCACCAAAAACCGCTAAGGGACTACCCGAAGCCGGAATTTGAAAATTGCAAACTGGGGTCCGCCCAAAACCAGAACATGACTGAACAGCCGTGTGAGCAAAACAGCTTGCAAGGATCCATTTCTCCCGTGAAGCATGGGGCACATTCACGTGGCTTCCCTCTTCAACATCTCGAAATATGCATTGAATACTTTAAGCACAGAAAAGCCAGCCGATTCTAACACATCCCTTTTTTGTTTTCGCACTTGATACTCATTCCGAGGCAATCGCCACTGCAAACAAACACCCAGCCTCAAATTGCTCTTGGTTTTGTGGGAACAAACACATTCCCCAGGTGCACTTCAAGTTTGTGTGGTTGGCCCGGACGCCTCTCTTTGGTCGATCCTTTCCCCCCCTCTGCGTTCCAAGGTCCCAGCGCATCTTTTGCCACCCACCGTCCGGAACGGATATCCGGGTCCACGACGTTCCAGTCCTTAAACGGGTGCAACGCGCAAACTCCACACCAAGCGTTGCTTGATGAAACATGTGTGTGCCCAACTCATTCAACACATGGTTGGTTTGGCAAATTCGTGGCGTCCTTTTGAGAATGGCCCCGGATTACGAGCTCTCAACTTGGCACATTCCCCTAAATGTCCCAAAAATAAACTAAAATTCCAGACAACATGAAGAGAGGACCGTCACAGGCAAAGGCATAACATGTCATACCATGCTCATGGTGGGGTTGCTATGATTCGCTGGTGGCAGGTGCAAACAAGCAGTCTCCCAGGCAGCTTGAAGGTAGGGCCTTATGATTGGATTCTGAAGGCTGGGCTTTCGCTCCGCTGTCTCTGCCCGCAGTGCAAGACAAGCTTCGCCAAAGTCGTCGGCTGCCTGCGAGAAGGCAGAGCAAAAATGAGCTGACGTATGGGCCAAAATCAAGCCACCAAAAAAAACGCATGTTTCCATTTACCAGGATTCCATTTAGGAACCAATGCTTGACCCACAGCCATATGATGCTTGATTGCAAAGAAGGGTTCTGCACTCTAAGGCCGTCCTTGTACTCTTTGAAAGGGGTGACAGAAAAGTCGGGCAAGGGACATCCCTTTGAACAACCCTTGCATGAGAAGCCTCCAACATGGATTTCACCATGACAGTCTAAGAGCCTTTCATGTAATATATACATCTGTCCAAAGCTGGGACGCCAACCCTTGCCCTTTCAAGCTGAATAAGTGCTTGCAGTTGCTGATAGCCCTTCTCGGCCAACAACTGATGCGGAGTTTATAATATTCCTTGCTCACCCCATGCCATACAGCAAGCCTATGCAGCTGGATTCTATGTGCGACAATGGCATGCATACTCTTGAAACGCCAGCATCTTTGAAATAAACATTCATAAGCCTGCAAACGTCCACACTGTCTTCAACACGGACCTGCACGCCGAACGCTGAGCATGTGAGCTGTCGCAGGAACCACTCCAATAGTTGGAGAAATGGCCGCCACTGAACGCATACAGCAGCATCCAACGCAAGCTATGTTTAACGGATGTACTAAAACCATGGCCTTCTGTCTAACCTCATGTAATGACAAAAGCTTCGGGCGTGTTCCAAACAAAAGGCGGAATACACACTTCAGCGACCCAAGAAAGGAGGCAAGATGGGGGTGGTTTAACCGTAAACCACCTGCAAAATAGCTGCTGCATGATTGTGCATCAAGTAGGCACACCGCCAAATGGTCAGTTTCTGACTGATTCCTCTTTAAAAGG